AAAAAAAATCGCAACTCCTAAATCACCATGCGTAACTGGTTCAAACTTCGAAACAGTATAAATACTAGATATACCAACTTAGAGATCCAGTTTCACTCGAATCGGCTGCTTAGCTGATTTTTCTCAGCGTTTTATATCTGAGGCTGCCACCAAAATCTTTCTGCATTTGTTTTATCTGAGGAGGCAAGAAACCGCTTTAAAATTCCTACATAACTAAAATTAAAAGCCCATAACTCCTAAACCAGTACGCGTTGCGAGTTCAAATTCGGCCACAGTCTGAACATAGGAGAGCTCAACCTACAGCCCGACGGTAAATCACCTAACAGCCTCGATTGATTTCTAGCAATCGTTCATATCAGAAACTGCAGGCAAAATCATAAAAATCCCAAGCCTACCAAGAAAAATTCATAACTCCCAAACCAGCAGGCGTATCCAGTTTCAATTTCTGCGGTTACTAAACACTAGATACAGCAGCCTACAGACCGACTTTGACTAAACACACTCCGGGATGAGTTTTCACAATCACAATGAGGGTGCAACACAAATCTAAAAAATCTTTTAAAACCGCAAATAAAAATTTAAAGCTCGCAAACTCACTCAAGCAGCTCGCTGAAATTTCTTCATATTAAGAACACTAACTACAGGAGCAAACAGTACTGTCGACTGATTAAAAAACATTATATTTGAAATTGGCACGAAAATCCTTAAAAAAATTAATGCTTATAAAAGAACTCTTAAATCATTGCGAGCAGCTAACTCAAAATTTGATACAGGATAAGCACTAGATCTTGCAATGTACACAGCAACTTTTACCCAAATCGGAGCATCGATTAATATTTTGCAATCGTCTAAACGCTGCAGGAAAAATCTTCAAAATCCATAACGGCCCGTAAAGAAAATTCATAATTCCTAAACCACCAATTGCATCGAGTTCAAATTTTTCCACACGGTAAACACTAAATACAGCAACCTACAGCCCGATTAACCGATTTTTTCGAACCGTTTTTGTCTGAATCTTTCGGGAATATTTTATAAATTTATGAACGCCCATAAACCCAAAAATTGTAACTTTCACACCAGCAGATGTCTCGAGTTCAAATTTCTGCTATGTATACAGCTCAGATTCAGTAACCTACAGACCGACTTTGACTAAAATCAGAATCTGGACTGATTTTTCACAATCATTTATATATGAGGGTGCAACAAAAACCTTGCAGATTCTTATGCAACCGCAAATAAAAATTCAAAACTCCCAAACCGGCTCAAGTAGCGCGTTCAAATTTCTACATAGTAAAAATAATAAATACAGGAACATATGACCCCAATTTCACTTTAATAGAATCTTCAATACTGATCGCTAAAACTTTCAATGTTTGAGGTATTCACAAAAGTCTCAAAATTGTGTTTAAGTTTATAAAAAACAATCATTATTGCTAAACCTTCAGCAGCAGATAGTTGGAATTTTGACACCATCTAGACATTGGGTGCAGCAATATATACAGCGACGTTCACTGAAAACGGAAGATTAGCTGATTTTCTGCAAACGTTTACATTTGAGGCTGCAACGAAAATCTTAAAAGTTCTTACTTAGCGGCAGACAAAAATTCATAACTCCTAAAGCGTTGAGAGTAGCGAATTGAAATTTCTCCACGTC